GAACACAGATCACAGGAAATTCACCGTATACGACAGTCGTAAACCGCCGTATTTCGTCGTAATACAACCGCCGTATACGGCTGATGTATATCGCCGTACATTGCCGTATACGGTCGTTTACGACCGTATCTATTGGACCTGGGTAATTTCCTGATTTAGCCATGTGAAATAAATTTTCATCCTTAATCAAAAGATCAGAACGAGAAAAATAAAATGAAGGTTTAGTATTAAAACATTAGTCAACATTGTATACGCGGCGAATATTAAAGTTAGAAATTTGAATAATCTTTTGCACGCATGTTGTTCGACAGACATTTTCAAGATACTTCGCTGTACATACGAACGTGCATACAATGTAAGTTACATTGTATGCACGTTCGCAAGAGAGAAATGCATTCAACCAGTCACATAATGTTGGCAATAGCTTGAGTAAATGTTCTATTGTGATACAACTAGCAAGTGTCGATAATATAGATTTGTGTCATTAATAGTTGAACTAGCTTTGAACTATAGGAATAATAGATTTCTTTAGTATCATGACGAGTACCACAATTATCTTACTCGAGTAGAATTAAACTTGCTTGATTAAAACAGGATGAACATAAAATGTATAGTGTACACCCGGCTTCGCTTGAATTTGATGAGTAAAAATGCCAAAACTGTTAGCGTATTCAGTAGAAGACCAGTAACAATCATTACTACTACAATGATGATGGTTAAGTTAATTGTGAATGGTTGCTGTTTTAATGATACACTAACTATAACCTTTTGACCTAACGACATGCAGTTGACAGTTTAGAACGTCAACTAATGCGACACCTTGACAATTTAGAACATCAACTGATAAGACACCATTGACAGTTCAGAATGTCAACGGCAAAACCGTTTCCGTTCCCGTTTATAATTTTGCCAAACCAACGTGAACGGCTACAGCCTAATCATATTTCACAATAAGAGTAGAATATTGATTTGTTAAGCGTAACTAGTCTCTCATTTCATCTGCATTTGTTATACTTGTCGTTTTTTATGTAAAAAACAAATTATTTTTTGTGATCATTTCTTATAGTTCAGTCAGATTTGTGATTTATTAAATAAGTCAGGTGGACTTTTTCTTTTGATATTTGTTCAACTCCAACATTACCAGTATCTAAATTTTTATTATTGCTAATAAATGTTTAATTGTGTAAATGTCATGCAGAATACAAATACATTTTACTTTGATTTATGAATAGTTTTCGAGCAAGAGTCAATGTATTCATATTTTTCTCGTATGAAAATCAACGAGAGACAAGAGAAGACTCAGCGGCCTCGTTGAAACTTCTCTCGCATATAGTATAATACAGATCTAAGTTCCATAGACAGGCATAGCTTTGTATACTGTCAACAGGTCCTCAACTACGGTAGATGGAGGCTTGGGACTTGAGTAGTTTTGTAGATCTAGACCTGCTACTACGAATGGATATCTTCCCAGAGAGATCTGAATATTAAATTTTATTGTTCTTTATGGAAGTTAACAAAAAGTACTACACGATTTCGATTTCAAAGAAACAAGAACATAATTGAAAGGAAGAAAATAAGCAGTCGAAGTTACATTTTCGTTGCAAAGATACGGCTCCAGGTTTTGCGTTATGACTTCAAGTCATTTCTACAGCAGAAGGAACAAAAGATAGAACGTTATGATAAGAAAAGATTATCAAATATTTTCGAAACGGAAAAGAAATTCAAAAAAAGGGCTACATACTTTCGTTCTACGTTTCAAGACGGTTCGAACGGCGTCAGGTTGAAGGGTCTATTTTTGTTGTTCGAAAAAATGACAATGCTTACAAGATGATCATCTTTCACTAAGAGCCTCTACACTTCAACTTTCCGAGCGGAAAGTGAAAGACTATAGTCAACGAGTAGATACCCACCTTCTGTTCGCAGTCAAAGGTGGATTGGAGTATTTCGCCCTATTCCTTTCTCCCCTGATGTGGCTGATGGGGTGTGACGTATTGGCCCTAGTAATTGAGATTTGGGGTTCGCGTGAGCTAACTTTGTCCAAGGAAAAGTTACACTTATATGGTTAATTTATGAATTGAATTTTTAACACCTATTGATAAGAGATTAGAATAAAAAAGGTTTTCTTCCAAATTAAAGCCAGTGCTTAAACTATAGTACATACTGAGTGCTGCTGTGGTAGCATTCTGTGCTTCAAAGAGATACCGATAAGAGATAAACGTCAAGACCTCACACACGCAATGCTTCTTCTCGTGCAGACGCTAGCAATAATATGTATATTTGCCTCATTTCTTGCATGGAAGCTAATTATCATATCACTTCTCTTTCTGGTCAACAGAAAGTGTGCAGCTCAGTAGTTGTTGTTATTCCTGTAACTGGGGCTGTTCACGTCAGGAATTTTTTAATAACTGACCTTATAAAAATAAACGTTTTTTTTCTCTGCGTTTGCTCTTTCTACAGTGTATTGACGACATGATAATGACAAACAAGTAAGGCGGCCTACAGTTCCGCCGATCCACTAATCGAAGTTTTAACCAGGATCAGAACACAGGCGAGACGATCTAATCATCTGTAAATATGATGTTTTATTTTTTAGAGAAAAGACGTTCGAGATTTTTACATATTCAGAATCAGCATGTTTGATTACGTTGTAATAAGCAAATATCTTGTCGGGGTACCCAAGCCATTGTCGTTTGGTATCCGCCTTGAGAGTTCGCGCGTTCCAGCACTATATTCCAACGTACTTTTACAATCAAACTTCAAAGAATGATGCTTTTTCCCCTTTTGGTTTGTGTCATTTTTCTTTCTTCTTCCGTGCGCATATACAGATAGTTATAAAGCAAGAATAAGAGAAAAGAATAAATTTCATATTTGCATCCAAATGTTTATCTAAAGACTCTTATTAGTATCACACAAAAGCACATTGTCTGCTCATAACTGTTCTCTGTTTGTCAAGTGCTAATTATATCAGTAATCGCTCCGATTTGGGTGATATGTTAGTCGTGATAGCTGACCTTTTTTCAATGGCTTTTTCCTCAATTATCGCGCCATTCTTACTTGAAATAATAGGACATATAATAAAATGAACAAAAAAGACTGGATTTCTTTTCCGTTACGCAATAACAGAAAAAAACTAGAGAATTTTTCGTTTTTTCAAAAGAAATCTTTTTATTGTCCGTAAAAGTTGACGCCACTTTATTTAGTAAGATTATTTTTTATTTCAAACGAAAAACAGAGCTTTCCTACTGCACATGTGCAAATCCAATAAACTAATGCAAATGTAATTTCTATATATACACCTCTTTCAGTTATTTTCGTTTATACTTTATGTTTCGCCGCATATTCTGTTTTACTAGTCATAATGGGAATACGTTTATCAGCAGTGCCTATCATCAAATCCAACTCTAGGTCAGACAAACCTTACAAAGAAACAACAACGACATCAGAATCAGCCAAAAACGGTATAATTAAAAAAGATATTGATTTACCTGGCCTTAATGATAAGGGAAAACTAGCATTTATTCTGTTAAATGTATTCACAAAAGATGAATGTCAAACATACATTGATTTAAGTGAAGCAAAAAGGATATAAACCGGCTTTAGTTAACGTTGGAATGGGATCTGAACGAGCTATACCTGACTTCGTAATAATGATCGATGTATTATAGATAGTTTCGAGATGGCCGATAAAATATGGCAACGTATAAAATTATATATTCCTGAAAAATGGTACCAAAATCAAAAAGCTATTGGTTTGAATGAACGTTTAAGATTTCTTCGATATGATGTAGGACAAAAATTTGAAGCCCATATGGACGGATGTTACCAACGTCAAGATGGTTCATTCGAAAGCAGTTTTATAACAATACAAATCTATTTAAATGAAGGATTTAAAGGTGAAGACACAACATTTATCGATCCAAATGGTATCAATTCCAATGTAAAATGTGTGCCAAAAACTGGAATGGCCTTAGTCTTTGAAGGAATTCGTTCCTACATGAAGGAAGTCGTTTGATTAAAGGAAGAAAATATACAATTAGAACTGATGTAATATATAAAGCAAAAGAGATATTAGATGAGGATGAGGAATAGAATTGTTCTGCATGCATTTTAATTCTCTACAAAAAAACTCCTTTGAAGTTTTACTATTCATAATTACTGCTATTATTGTTTATGACGTTAATGATGTAGCTGAGAGGTTTTCTGAACTTTTCTTTCAGATTTATTAATAAATATATATTAACTATATATATTACCTAAATGTTTCGATATGTTAACATATCATCTTAATAGTTTAAAAACAAAACAGTTTATAGATCCACAATCTAAAATTATAACAATTTGAAAATTTGAAAAACAATTAACATGATGTATACAGTGCTAGAATAGGAGTTGATAAACATCATCAATAAGATTTATCTATATATTTTGATGTTGCGAGGTATGATCTGAGACGACAGATAGTAAGAAAAATATATAGATAAATCTTATTGATGATGTTTATCAACTCCTATTCTAGCACTGTATACATCATGTTAACATTGTTTTTCAAATTTTGGAAAAATTGTTATAATTTTAGATTGTGGATCTATAAACTGTTTTGTTTTTAAACTATTAAGATGATATGTTAACATATCGAAACATTTAGGTAATATATATAGTTAATATATTTTTATTAATAAATCCGAAAGAAAAGTGTAAAAAATCTCTCAACTAAAATTTGACTATTGAATACTTCCCGGTTATTCAGTATTTTGGATTTCACATCTAATATTTCACATATTGTTCGTGCAATTAATACCTTCCTAATCCGAGGTGATCCATTAATCAAAATGCCACATGAATGTTCCATTAATTATGTGTTAAAAATATAGATTTTATAAATATGTTAACAATGCTTCAAGCATTACTAGAAGATTTTTACAAAAATCATCACGAAAACAACTAAAATAAACATTCATTGTTATTCAAGCTTTTTTACAATATTTTTCGTCACGGACGCTTTTCTTTCTCAAGCATGGCCCGACGTATCTAGTAATTTATCATATTAAACGAAAACGAAATTTGGATGCATATGGTAGATAAAGGAAAGGGGGTTGCATCTACTGTAAAATTGTCATGAAAGTTGATCTCTTACTAACTGAGTTACACGTGTTTCATTTCCAGAAGGACGCAATTTAGATGGTCAAATTGAATAAGAAATGTAATAAGCAACTTTTGTAAAAATACAAAGTAGCGGTTTGGTAGAGAACTTTATGGGCTTTCTAATGTCTTTTTTAAAAAGTTTTCAAAAATCTTCAAGTCGTTTTCTTCGATCAAAAATCGTATCAACAAGACCAGAGAGTCATGTAGATCAACTTGACTTACTTTTTTGAGTGTTAGTGAATGTTGATTTGTAAAAGTAGCTGAAAAGCTTAGATATTAATAATTGCTTTGGGTGTTAGTGGGTGTATACTCAAGCCAGCAAATACTGTTTCAGATTTTACTTTCGGGGATTTTGGGATGTTAGCGGGTATTCACATCTTTTATAAATATCGGTTGGAACTCAGATCATAAAGATTAAGTCGCTTTTAAATGTTGTCTATTTCCTTTATAATCGTTCGAACAAAAAGAAAACATTTGGTGTTTTGTCTCATTTGGATTGTCTCGTAGATGCACGATTACGTCGTTCATTGTTTCTTATTTTCTGTTTCATATTTATTTTTTTTTTCCTCTTCCCTCCTGTCTTAATTGATTGGTTTCTCTGAAGACATATTATCAACTGGCTCACTTTCACGTCTTGTACTCCTTCCCGCCGCGCTCACCAACAGATGTTATTGAAAGGTTTTTTGCTTTACGTGACAGGATATTTAAATAGAACTCTAGTTCGCGGAAGAACCGTGCTACGCTTAAACTATGAATATTTCTAATTAAATAGTGCTTTATCTCTTGAACAATGGCGTAGCTATTTTACAATGACTTTATAAAAAATATGAGTTTTCGTGTCTATGTGTGAGTGATTCTGATCAATTTGATACCGTTTCACAGTGGGCAACCTAGTGGACATTAGGAGAAAAAACGAAAGTGATATTTTTCGAGATTTAAATAGTGCTCAATATGTATTAGCTAATGCCCAATTTAATGGTGAAAAAATTTTGGTTCCAAAGTTCAAAATCATCGAGAAAGGTAAGTCACAAAATTTGATATTTAGACTAAGCCATCAAGAAACGTTTTTATTTGAAAAAAGGATAAGTTTTCTAGAAATGCAACACACATATTCCGAAAGCTGAACTCTTAAGCTATCGATTGGTAAAAAAACATTTGTCTGAAAGCATGACCACTGCAGAAAATGTTTTACTTCTTTCTGAGTGGAACGATTATACGTAGGACGTTCGCAGTAAAGTGCGAGCGCGAGCTTTAGCGGGTGTCCGATTCTGATGAAACTTTGAGGTAATGCTCGTCAATACACAGCACACTTATAACTCAAAAAAAACGAAATGCCCACCTGCTCTATTGAAAAATGCCCACTGTGCGTTTCAGTGAAGTTGTTGGCCTTCTCCTTCTAAGCTTAACGACACTCTCTCGAACTTTTTATACATATACTGCGATATCATGCCTATATTCACCGCTTATATCTCTTTCATATTCATAACCATTGACGTGCTGTAAACATAATAATATGTTTTTTGTCGTTATTTTCATGGTGGCTCTCACGTGTTCTCTTTCGTAAAATTATTTTTTTTTCAGTCTTTTACTGTAGATTTACATAGATTTTTTTGTTTCTTATAGCATTTTGTATGCTCTATTCATTTATACTATGATCTGTCTTTTCATTTGCTTCGTTTTTTTGGATATTAATTTCAAATGCGTGGTTCAGAAAAGTTGATTTAAATTGTCCCGTCACCATCTAGGCACTATAGAGACCTTGTAAGCACTTTGATTCTCATTTTATTGATGGCAATAGATAAGCACAGGCATACGACAGACATCAGTGAAAACCTGAGATTTCAATTTCTCATCGTTCGGAAGTAGTAGACAAATTACTTTTTCTTTTCTTTTATCTTTTTTTATTTTTACTAAAGAGCAGGATATCACAAAAAAAGAAACAAAATCTTGTAGCATCCGTGGATACCCTGTGATAGCCTAAAACTAAAATTTAAAAATATAAATAAGTAATAATAATTACTATCTGAGACTGACGCTTCACCGACGTTTGTGAAATTTTCTTCTCCTTTTCCCTCCTTTTTGGACAAAGTTGACCAGTTTTCCAATAGCGATTGATCAAAGAGCCTTCTTAAGGCCTTAGTTATCATGCGTTGCTTCTTATATTTGCCACGAACATAGTACCGTCTATTCTTGTAGTGATAGTTACTATGTGGCCTCGATCCTTATTGCATTATAAGTATTTCTGTGGTCAATAGAAATTTCTTATCGTTGCATGGCAAGTCATCAGTATTTCTTTATTTGGTATGTGCATTTTTCCCTTTTCTCGATCTCAGTTATCGATCTTCCGATCGTCATTTGTCGTGTCATCAATAATTCTTTTAACTTGTAAATCTGTTTGCTTTCATTTTCAATTTCATTTATGCAATTGGTGTTTTTAACTTAGGATTTACATCCTCCTTTTTTGGTGGCGTTCCTCCTTTCAAGATTTTGCAATTCCTCCGTAATTTCTCTTTTTTAGAAAAAGCTCGGTACGAAGCCAGTATAAGAGAGAAATTTAAAAAATACCACTAAATATTCCACCACCATTGTTTCCTTGTACCTTCATAACAGGTTGCTTAAATGAATCTAAATTTCTAGTAAAAAGGTTTTAAAATATGGAGAATGGGTTGCATGATTTGCTATATAGTAGTTTAAAAAAGGATTTCCTGGGACACCTAGTCTTTCAGAAAAACTAATCACATTTTGTGACGGATGTTGGACTATAGATAGATATACACATCTAGTGTCTCTTAAGGGACTCGACTTAGTTTCATAGATAGTAAGGTTTTTCTCAATAACATAAACACGCATCCGATAGTCTATATGAAGAAAAAAGCTACTGGCGTGAGCTGTGTACGATGCTAGATCGAGTGTTTTCTGAATTCAGGGAAACAAAGAATGGTTGTTTGCAGACTCATTTTTTCTAAGACTAGTAAGCACCTACTATCAATCTATGGTACCGAAATCTTCGAACATTTACTTTTTTTGGGGTCAAATTTTGAAAAAAAAACGGTACCAAATTAACCAGAATCACTCATGTATACCGTAAATACTACTACATACGAAAAATTGCTGCTTGACGGGTTACGTAAGAATCACTAGCTAGTTGACGCTACGAAAAAATGCGTAGTAAAATAGACCCTATATTATACTATATAGATCTACCAACATTTTGGAAGAGTTGTGAAGTTGAGAAAATAGTTATTAAAGAGTTACTGGTTCTAAAAGAGCCTATAAGATATTCTGAATATGAATAAATTCATTATTCTAGATAAATACAATTTCGAATGTTAATAAAAAAACAAATCAAACGTTGTATGTTCTGTTCATTTAAGTAGCGTTGATTTCAATCAACTTTATGATGGTGGCTTCGAATATTTTCCCATAAACAGAGGAATATCACGATTCGCTTCACGAATAAAGAACAAAAATGGTCGATCACATTTGAACTCGACTGTTTCAGAACGCATCACTGCACACCTCATCATTATCACCGATGTTGCTGCAGCTGCTTCTGAACCTTCCTCGTTGACGTCAATGTACGCTTTGTGAATCACTTTACTGATGCTCAATTGTTTACTAGACTCAATACCAGTAAAATCAGCATCCCTTTGACTGAATGCATCTGTCATCCCTAAGTGCATTAGGGTTGAGTTCAAATCAAATTGACATTCCATTCTAAATTTGGGCAAATAGAAATCCAGTTCGTTCTGTTGTGTATTGCTCAGCGCTTGCTTCAACACCTGCTTGTCTTCCAGTTTTCCTTCAACATCGGTCAATTTCACTCCCCGTTTCGGGAGAATGACAGTGAAAACGAACCGAGTACTATTCTTATCAACACTTTTGTAAGGAATATGAGCGATTTGAGCATTGAGTGTCTGATTGTCAGCGTAATTATACTTTTTCTTTTGATACATGAGCGCGATTTCTGACTGAGTTTGATCATCTGACGTGAATATCGCCTTTTCGTCCGTTTGTGTATTGTCAAACTTGTTCACCCAGTTGCCTTTGAAATAGATGCAATTCACCAAAACCAAACGAGTGTCAGGATTGATGTCGTTTATACTCAATAAATCCCTGATCAAATTGTTCGTCTGTTCTTCGACCCACTTATTAATGCTCTCCACAGCTGTCTTAGCGTTCACGAAATCGACAGTTTCGATTTTCGCTGAATAAAACTTTTTCAAAGTTGACAAATAATCATCAAGCGGACGATAGTTCTCCTGGACGTACAGACGATTGGCTAACTTCAATTTAATTTCACTGTTGTTACCGGCGGACAAAATCAGATCCATTAGGCTTTGAGCGGTTAAATTTAGTTCGTCGAGTGATTTCTCGTCGAAACTGTTCAGCATTTGATCGAGCGTTTTGTTTCTAGCGCCTGTAGCGCACATACTCATTGCCATAGCGATGCTCGTCGGAGAAAAAAATGTGTTTTCACTTTTACCAACAGATTTAACCACATCTTGGTAGAGTTTTAAGCTGAAATTCTCAAAATATCCCTCATTTTTGGGTGATGGTGAAGCCATGTTGTTTTCTTCCAGTGTACATACAAAATGTGAGCTATAATCTGCTTTTTTTGTATTCTCTTTCTTTTTTCTTTCTCGATTCTTTTTTCCCGCACAATACTAAACCGGATTGTGTCATTCATAGAATAGTGGTGCACACGCTGTTTTTTCCTCTAAAAGTTTCAAATATCATTAGAGCAAAAGAATGACACTGTATAAAGTTTGGATCAGTCACACAGTACGTCTGTCCTTTACGTAGGACTTCTTGGTCACTATATCGTAATAATACCTCATGGTTTCACAAAATCTGTCTAGCAACTAGAATCGATTGAAAAAGATTCCGTAAAATCGATCAGTTACTTGCTGCTAAAAATGACTGATATCCAAGGAGTTTATGAAGAAATGCAAATACTTTGAGAGAAGTAGTGCCTATCTATAGTTAAATCGATATAAGAGAAAGAAAATGCAAAGTTGATTAAAACTGATCCGGTCTGATCTAATTGCTAATTTCTGAATAGTTTAGAAATGAGTTTCTGCCAATTAGTTAAATATGTAAATTTTTTCATCTGATTCAGATTAAAATAAGTAATGCAGTACTACACTACTCAGAGTTTCGGGTCAGATACACAGTTTTCGTTTTCGTTTTTTATCATTAGTAAAATTTTCTAGTAGATTGGACCTTTTACCTAAGCTTCATAACGAGCCGAAAAGTGATAAGTGATAGCCTTGTGCATGATTTCATTCCCAAATTAAATTACTAACGTTGATTAATTAAAAGTTAATTCTAAATTTTACAGATTTAGAATTTTCCGAATTATACGACACTTTTAACTGTCATTCGCATTACTGAGATCAGACGTCCTCTAAGAATGATGTTGAAGAAATAACTGCTCATAAAAAAAGCATTTAGATGCCGAAGAACGAAAAACGGCATGTTTTATCATTGTACAAAATATATATACTAAAAAAACGATTTAGAAACGGAGAAAAAAAGCCAAAGAAGAACAAGAGGAAAAAAGAAGTAACGAAGGATGTTTCTTCAAGGCTGGTTTGCATAGCCTTTTTTATAGTAAATAGAAGCGTCACATAATTTCTTGCTTGTAGACCGCAAAATTAGGTCCAAAATGTTTTTCGTAGTTGATGTGAGGGAGCTAAGGTACAGCTAATGCAAAAATGCAGTGAAATGTTTTTTGCCTCTATTATACATATTCTGATTCGTTAGAGCGCAGCGATCACGAGTATCACCTTTTTCTTAAGTTTAGACCGAGTTTTGACGAAGAAAAAACGATAGCGAATTCGATGGAAACATTTTTAAAATTTTCAAAAACCATTCAGAGGGTTTTCGAGAGATCGGATCTCCAGAAAACCGTTTCAACAACTAGACTTTTTGACAATAGTCTAGAACGATAGAGAATTGAATTCTGAACATAGCAAGACGTTTTGAAGCCTTCTGCGACTTCTCGGTCAAGAGAAATGTCTAAAAAACTAAAAAATCGAATTCGAGACTTTTTATTGCCCATCTAAATTTTTTGGATATTTCTCTTGGTCGAGAAGTCGCAGAAGGCTCGAAAACGTCTTGCTTTGTTCAGAATTCAATTCTCTATCGTTCTAGATCATTTTCAAAAGTCTGGTTGTTGAGAAGGTGTTCTAGAGATCCGGTCTCTCGAAAACCCTTTGAATGGTTTTTTGAAAATTTTAAAAATGTTTCCGTTGAATTCGCTATCGTTTTTCGCCTATTTGACGCCATTTCCATTAAATTTGGTCGAAAAAACCGCGACTTTGTCAAAAATCGCCTTGCCGCTTTGTACAGTGGAAAAAAGAAACTTAATTTTTTCTTCAAGGAAAGCAAAATGGAAAAATCTAAACATATAACTTTGTTGCCCGCTCGATGCTCTATCTAACCATGTATGACACAAGGGTCTAGTACTCCATACAAAAAAACTAATAGGGATTGGAAAGTGAAGGTGTGATTTTTAGGCCCATTCTGTTGGAAAATCAGCCACACATCTAATTTTCATAGAAACTCTGTGAGTGATACATGGTTAGATAGAGCAAGAGTCAAGGAATTCAAAGCTGAAAACCGCAGTCGCCTATTTCTCTTCCAAAAAAGTTACGGAGGTTGCTTGAAAAACCAATGGTATTGCGATTTTTGAGATCTGTTCAGTATTTTGCATTTTTCTCCGTCAAAACTCGGTCTAAACTCAAGAAAAAGGTGATACTCGTGGTCACCGCGCTCTAACGAACTAGAATATGTATAATAGCGGCAAAAAATATTCCACTGCATTTTTGCATTAGCTGTACCTTACTGCATATTTGAGTAAGTCTTATTCGAATATTTTCGCACCAGGAATAGTAACAGTTTACTTTTATGTACTAAGTAAATAGTAGATCAAAATATTTATTTGTCGAAAGTTAATAGGACGTATCTTACACCTACATTGTTTTTCCTGTGTTACAACGTAATGCTATCGTGAATTCACTCGATTCACAATCGTAAAGAAAACGCTTATAATAGTTTACAATGGTGGACGGATTTTTACGACAGTTGCACACGATAACTTATTACGTCTGAGTTCAGCTACGACCACATCGCAAGTCGTCGTTTACGCCATATGAAATCGACCTAGATATTCATGTCAGAATAGAATGGATTCGGATGCTTCTCAAATAACGTATGAACAATCGCAAATAGACACTTGCGGTTACACCAAAAATTTATATACCTTTGTGAAAACTTAATCTGGCGTTGTCATGAATCGTGCTTTACATACGTCAACAAAGATGTTTTTAAGATAGGGCTAGACGGGTTTATATAAATCCAAAATAAACAATAACAAAGTGAAAAGCTCAAAATTTTTTTATTGTGTTGCATTAAAGAACGATCGGACTCAAAGCACAAAAAAATCTGAAGTCCTAATCTGTCTCTTTAGAAAGATCTCAGATCGTGTCTTAATTCGAGTCTTCATAAAACAAAACCTTCATTTCTGTCTCGACCAGTCCTTTTTGAAAATCTGAATACCAAAGGATGACACTACAAGGCACAGTGAATAATTTCGGCTTAGAGAAGCCGTCAGAATTACGAGCGAATCATTCGGAGCAATCCTAGAATAATGTAAAGCACTCCTTTATTAAGGTGTGTGTGTGTGTGTGTGCTAATTAGGCCCTACTAACAGCTTCACAAAACAACACCCAATTTACCAGCAGCAACAATTATTATTAGTTTAGTGATAAAGTTTGATACAAAAAGTAGTTTGTACGACGTTGATAGTACGAGTAACTATTCAATTAATTGATAAATAAAATAGATAATATTCTTTGTTGTTTCAAGAAGAATGTGGTGGAATCTAATCTATTGAGATGCTGATGTAACGAAGGAGAAATGAAAATGAGTATTGCAAACGCAAATACTAAATTATAAATATTAAATAAAACTTAAATATAAAATTTAATTTATATAAATTCTTTAAACAGAATATTAAAGCTCCTCCTTCCTTGTATATGAGAGAAGAAGAAGAGAAGAGATGTGAATTTGAATTTGAAAGTTGAGAAGAACGAGAGAGAGAGATGTTAACTTGAAGTTAAACGTTAACAAGAAGAGATCTGAATTTGAAGTTGAAAGTTGACAAGAATGAAAAAAGAATCGAAATTTACTTTCGATCATGACTTGTTTTTTCGTTTTGTTTCCCGAAAAAGACTTGTATTATTTATTAATTTAATACATAATTTCTTTCGTCTATCATTTCTCTTACTAAAATCGGCGAAACTACGAAGTTTTAAGAATTTCTAGAAACTGCGCCAAGATCAAGCATGGAGAATAATGTAATGGCGAGGAGCCGTTACAATCACCCCGTCGTCCCGGATTCAAAAGTCAGAGCAGATAAAGGCGTTCTACTTTCTTGTTTTTGTTTCTCTTGCTGCTTGACATTCAAGAGTGAAGGATTGGCGCCACTACAAAGAAATCAAACTAGATTAACCTAATAATTTATCTCATTTGAATAAAAATTCAAATTTAAGTAAAATCTCGTCGTCTCGTGGAATAATATAAAAATATCTAATGTCAATAAATGAAAATAAAAAGAAACAAATAAAATAAAATAATTTAATTAATTATTAATTATTTGATACAGATTTGAGAAGAGAAAGCCAACGAGAAAAAGAGACTACTTAGCTTAGATTCAAAAAGGCTGTACTGATTTTTTTTTATCTAAGAGCACTCCCTCAGTCAGAGTCATGATTAATTTAGGCGATTTACTAGCTTCAAGAAAGTGAAACCTCAGGTACACCCTTCGATGGATCATGTCTGACTAACGCAACTATTTGAATTACATTAAAATAACGTAACCATTTCAATTGCGACAGAATACCCTTCCTTGAATAGCAGCAGCATAACAGAATTTTTTTCGATGACAAGGGCGAAGAAATTTGAAAGTTTTGTGCATTTCAAAAGAAATTGTCAATGAATTTGTAAAAGTAAAAATTCTAAGAAGTCTAAATCTCTATTACCGTTTGCCGCTTTGAACGATTAAAATTGACAGAGTTAACACAAGGAAAAGGCACACGAGAACTGCTATTGTTACTATTCTGACCTCCGCTATTATTATTCCATCTATAAAAATTTGTTTGTTGATTTTGTTGAAAAGCTCGTTATCAGTTAGAAAAACAAGGAATTTAGCTGCCCGAGTCTCTTGACCAGAAGAATTTGTTGATGTATCTATGCGTTCATTGTCAAGTACGTATGTTATATAGAGCGTTACAATGTTTGCTTATGTTGTAATTCAGTTGGATGTGATGTCTATTACCGTTGAACTGATCATTGGTAGAATAAAGTTTATTGTTAGTTAAACTAAAGATGGCAAAGCAATACTGTTTCCTTGTTGGATAATCGTTACTTGTTTTTGAACAACAGAAAGTGCCTTTTGTCTACATAAAGATATCCCTGACTACGTTTTACACAATCTTTACCTTTAAAATGTTTTTCAATCTTTAACAGAAAAATAGAAATACTGAACACAACAACAATCATAACGCATTATTCTCTTTTATACAAGAATAAAAATGTTTAGTAAATAAATTGTCAAGTTTTGGCAATGATAACTATCATCTTCTTGGTTAATATTAATTTGTCTGGCTTGATGAAAAATTCAGAGATTTATCTAAATATATATTTTATAAAAGGAACATTTTCAACATTATTTCCTTCTAGTTCATTGAATAGTACGTTTAATAATAATGAACGTACTTGTGGTGATATTTGTTTTTTTTTGTTATAATTGTATACATTTCAGATATCCTATAAAGAGAAGAAGAGTAGACAAAAAAAAGCCATGATGTGGCGACATTCGAGAAACAACGTACTGTCTATTGCTACATGTTTCACTCTTAGAAAATGAATTATAATTAAGTGATGAGTTCGTCGACAACAGTGTTATTGTAAGTCGATGTTCCTTCTAGAAAACGTTTACCACACATATAATATCAATAAAAAGAAACTAAAGTTATTCTGCTACTTTACCTTGAAATAATCGATAAGTTCTTTAACGGTCATATCACCATTACCTTCAAATTGATTCCACAATGAAGTGCCCAGATACTAAGATAAAAAGAAGCATTCATTCGCTTAGATAGTATTAAATGATTCTAAACAACTATCGTCAATTTAATTGTTCTGTATTCTCCTGGACTCAGTTTATTCAAAATATACTCTTGTCTAAAATAAAGGAATCGCATTCTTTAGCAAAATTACATGCATTGTTTATTGAACATAAATCTTTTTTTTATCAATATGAAACTGAACTGTACAGACTCCTATTTCTTGTCTCATCATGATACACGACTGCGTACAGAACTTTTTGGCTCACAATCAGTGGCACTAAAAAGTACTATTATCATAAACTTAGTCTTATCACCCTGAATCGACTATACCATTCGAAAAAACTGCATTGCACAGGAGTTAGTTTTGCGGTTAATAACTCCTACTTTCAATTGAAAACGAGTAAATAATTTTAACTTCACATATCACCGATTAGCATATGCTTCTATCGTGCTGAATTTTCTTTATCACAATTATTTTGGATGAGAGCCTTTATATGCAAGCTGTTATCAACATTGCACAATCCACAGTACTGAAATAAAAAACTTATGCAAGAAAAATGTACGGCGAGCGTTTTTCACAAATTTTAGCAAAAAATATAGACTCCGATGGAATATTTGACGAAGATATTAGATTTTGCGAAAAGCTGTCGAAAACTAAAAGTCGACAATCAGTTAACCGTAACAATTATAAATTCAGTATTAACACATGACCAAGTCTCAAAACTTCTAACATGACTACTTTGAAGTGTTCATCATGAAGCGAGCAAATTCTACGGGATGATCGATTTCCACTGGCTGCAATACTATGAAAAAACAATCACTTGATTACTTGCAGCAAAATGTTAAAAATGATGATTTTACACGACGAATTCAGAAAGTTGGGAGGACTGAAATAAAACATGTAGTCAAAAAAACGATCAAAAGTTTCCACTAGATGATTAATTCAAGACTAGTGAAATGCAAGCGGGTCCATTGCGCTCTGTAGTAAACAGCAGAAAACGCAAAAGATAAGTGAGATTTGTCGTACGATGTATGTACAAGACTGCAAAATGTTAGTGCAGTTTAGGATTGATATCATAACATTTTCAGCTTGCTGGTAGAAATAAAACCTTGAACTGTAGTTTCAAGCAACTAAATGTTGTTCTTAAAAACTGTACCTCTGATCTCCTGCATTTCTGCTCTCTTAAGGTTGTATATATATTCTGTTAGGAAAATAAGTAATGTTTTCTCCAAAAACGGAGGGGCCTTCTATTTAATCTTTTACATGATGAGGTCGAGGAGGATCTTCTCTAATGTGTCAATTCCTTCACTGTAATCATATATTCTTGGAACATCGAACTTCGAATTTTGCAAAAACAGTTCTAGTTTGGATTTCAAATGTTTCAACATACTAGAGAAAACAGACTATCCCCTGACAGTGCCAATCCGGTCTACTGTCATGACCGCTAACTACTTCCGTCGTTACATAGCATATCAGTAATGTGCATTGTAGGACTTTAGACGCCCGTACCGTATTCCTCCTATGAGTTAGGTGTAGATCGAGTTGTACATTAATATAGACACTATAGACCTCTTCATTTGAGTTATGATCAACTTTTCAGCTCTTTTCAACCCGAAATTAAAAACTGCTGCAATGACAGTTAGCGTATTTATTAGGCTCTTTATGTAAAAATCTGAAGTCTTTACGACTTTTTGTTATGGTAGGACACCAGTATACAGGAGCGTTGAGTTGTGTTCTTGTAACGTAATTTTCTTCTGGTTGATGAAATGGATTTTAGGAGATTATTTTACCATAAATATTATCGACTTAGTAATAATGATTTGTAAAAAGAATTCACGGGATCATATAAAATGGTGAAGAAAATGGCTTTTGAATTTATCTCACTTGGTAGACAACATGCCTAGTATTGAACAGTTTATGAACTGAAGTAATATTATATCTAACATCAAAACTTTTATCAGATTCGGAATCAGCATCCAAAGCGGAATACAAATATTCTGTTTCAAGCTTTTTCTTATATCCAAACCAACTTACTCTCTAGTCTTTTTTGAGCTTCAGAGGAATTAAGGCCAGTCACATTTCATACAAAGAAATCTTTGACACTATCACTCTGGCGAGAAAGACATATGTACACTTCATGTAAAGTATACATATATCTTTGTTGCGTTCTGGTTCATAATCAACAGGAAAAACTTCTGAAATTCCTATACAATTCAGCTTGTGAAGGGAAGGGACTCCATAATAATTAGCTCACATCCTGCAGTGGAAGGGAAGTCGGTACACATGAATAAAATACATTTGTTTTGTAGTACGAGAAAGAGAAAGAGAGAAATAGACATTTTTTGTATGAGAGAGAACGTTACAGTTCCTAAGCAAAATTTAAAGTCAGCTCTTCTAAAAGATGTTTCTGATACCCATCATACTATCAAGGGCTCTCCCCCCTCCCCCTCAGAAATGATGATTTTCGGTCAAAACATCGGTTTTGAGATAAGCACATGGGAAGGTAGCCTGCCGTGTCTCCTTTCAGAATCTGAATCGCTTTTGGTTACAAAAGTAGTTTTTCGGGGATTTTGAGCAAGTTTTCTAGGAGCCTCGAAAAACCGGGTCTTCAAACAATAACGTTTTCCTGGATACTAACGCAATTAAACTTTTTCTAAACACACAGATTTGTAGGGCAGACGTTTCTGATTAAAATAAGACCTCGCACAACTCTGTATGATTTTGCATCAGAGGGCTGCGCGATTACAATTACAAACTGTTAAGTTCATACATTGCTATTATCTGTAGAATTCAGAATTCTAGAATTTTGAACTGTACATACATGTAAAGTTGCATATTCACGCTCACCCTCACCCCACACTCACCCCTAGAATACAGATAATAGCAATGTTTGAACTTTACATTTTGTAGTTGTAATCGCGCATGTCTGTTGGATCAAAAGGTCACAAGCATTTTTCTAGAAGTTCTAAAGTTGAGTATTTCATACAGCGTTTAATACAGCGTTTTATTCTCTATATAAGAGTTACACCTGAAGTGCGTCCCAAAATTTTAATAGCGGTTTGTCGTAGGGAGTTCATTCTTTTTTTGTTTAAAAGAGGAAAAGAAACTATATCGTCTGATCGTCATCGATTTTTGAATTAGGCCTTTATTTCTTTTATCAAATTAAGCATTTTTAGAAAATTCGGAAATCCGGAATTTTCGAAAGGTTGACTTTATTTTCACAAAAAGGTTTATTTAAAAAAGATTTTTAATTTTTATTCAATAAAGATGAATATAACAACAGCTGCTGTTATCTGATGTAGAGATTGTCTTTCTCATATTATATTTTTTGCAAAAGTGCTAAGAAAGATTAACATGGACATTACTTGATTTATTTTTACTGGTGTTGGCTCAAAGCAATACAAAAATGGTATTGCCAAATTCGCTACGCTATTACGATATGATTCAATCTTTTATGTTTTTGTACAAATTTATATACTTCTAAATAAACAAGACCGGTTACCATTGCTGTTGTTATTACTATAGCTGATAGTATTCGTCCAACTATTTGTTTTGCTTGACTACTATCAGTCGGATCAATTTCATAATTCTCAGCACGCAAATTGGATGCAGATGTTATAAAATCAATATGAAAATTCGTACCAGCATCTATTTCAAATTCTAATGGTTTTAATTCAATATTAAGTATATCCTCTAATTTTGGTAGTCTTTGTACCATTTGTTGTAATTCAACAGTTTCATCTTCTATATTATTGACACTGGCTTTTACTTGTTCATCATTTTCGTGTATCGATAAAACCCTTTTAGTTTGAAATCAGACATATGTGCAGCTACTACATAACTTTTAAATTGTGTAATATCTTTAATTTGTGGCATTAAAAACATCTCAGCATATAAATTCGATGCTGCATATACAAAGTCCATATGTAATTCGTTATTAGAATCAAATTCAGTTTCATGTGGACACAGTCGATCACCACTCCAAAAATATTCACCATTATGCGTAAGTAGAACATGTGGATAATAAAATAATAATCGTACAATTGTATCATGAAAATGTTCTTGAAATAATTGTCTTGCACATTTAATACCGTCTTCAAAACATTTTGTTCTATCACGTCCCAATATATGTAGAACATTCTCTATTTCTTCTTTCTTTTGATATATAGAATATTTTTCAATACGTTCAAGAAATGCTTTTGGATCTTTCTGGTAGTCTTGAGCGGAACGGGTGGGATAAAAAAATGTATTCTCGAACAGTTGGCTTGCCCATTGAATTGTATGTTCAGTGAAAAATGGAAAATGTTTTAACGTACTAATCGAAACAGTCGATTCTGATGGATCAGTTACCGATGAATATGACTCAGTTAAAAATGGTACAACAACTTGAACACTTGCTTTTGTGCCTAATGTACCACTAGCTTACGATGATAAACGCATCGTCGATCAATATATTGCCCTAAAGACAGCAGAAACTTTTAGATAAAATGTACTTTTCTACTACTTTACAACTATTGACTACAGAAACTCTAGCTGTCTATTAACGATAAATCAACGTACGTGCAACAATGTCGTCTAGCGCATTAACGATACCGATACTGATCGTGATATATGACTTCTGTTTCCGGTGACACAGGTGCAATAAAGACATGTATGTTCAAATTCTGATTCATTTGTTTGGCAGCTTCAGCCGCTACTTTTGATTTACACTTCACTAGATTTTTTAGAAGAAGAATAAATTGATAACTGTGTACATCTCGTCGGTAAAACAATATGCACTATGTTGTTTAATGATTTCTGATGCAAAATTTCCATACAAAATTGAAATATATTCTGCTTTGGCTGCCTCAATCAGTATATCCGATATCCGGCAAGTTTAAAACGTTTCGAATCTATCGCCCTAGGTTCTGCACCTTTACAGAGGTAACCGACTGTCTCATACATTTTGAAACAGAGTATTAAGTATAGAACTTGATTCTGAGGGAATTTTTAGATCGAACATTACGCTTTCCACTTTCATAAACAGGGTTATTTAAAAACCAATTCCAGTTCGGGAAAGAGTCGTGACGTGCTTCATCTGTGTACCAAAATTTCCTTACATACTGCTTTCTATACTCCAGTACAGAAATACCTTAGATAGAAAGGCGAGAAAAGTAACTTGGTAAGGTGCCGGCAATGCGAAATTCAAGTAAAAATTTCTTTTGCCGTTTTTTTTACATCATTTGATAGAGTGAGAGTTGCTGATCACGAAAAACAACTTTTTACCTTACACAAATATCTGTTTCAGTTCGGAAAATACGAAAAAATCGAAGTATGTCGTATTTTTCAAAAACACATTTTTTTCAAAATACGCCTTATATTTCGGTTCGTGCTTTCTCTGAGTTTCTGAAAATATTTTTTTCAGATTCAGCATCAAAAACTGAGCCTAGACGAGTTGTTAAATCGGCTTAAGAC